TTAAAGGTTCCGAAAGAGCTAATATTTTACTATATTGAGGAATAAAATTTATAAAATTTATAATAGAGGATGTATTATTTTCTTTGAAGTCTCAAAAAAGTTTATTAAGTTTTAAAGATATTCATATAAATAGATATTATATTGAAACAACAAATGAAAGAGAGACTTAATACGTTTGTATTATATCTATTATCTTAAATAGGACGTGTGTGTTGAAAAAAAAAATTAATCGCTTTATTCTTTGGATTAAATTACACAAATATTAAAATAATTAAAACTCAAAGGAAATTAAAAATTTACTAATGATTTTAATGTTTGGTATAACTAGTTGGACCATTCTGGATCAATAATGATGTAAAAAAAATTATTAAACATTAATATGATTATTTATTGAAAAACCAAAAGATTTTTCAATCTGATAAAATACTTATGAGCTGCTTGCTCTCAAGGTAAATAAATTATAAGGCTATCATCAGTTAAAGTTGGGATTGAATTCCTTACGTTTTTGGAACGTATTCATGGTAATTTATATGGACCCATATATCCATCATGTGGACCATTTAGATATTTTATGGTTATAATTAATGCATCGATAAGATGGTTATATGTGTGTTTATTATCAACTCACAATTTGACATTTGCAAGATTACTTGTACAAATAATATGTTTGCAAGCATATATTTTTAATTATGTAATCAAGACAATTCGTCTTAACAATGCTGCTAAATTTACGTCTCAAGCTTTTAATAAATATTGTATGTCAATTGGAATAAATATTAAACAATTTGTTAATCATTTTTATACACAAAATGATTTAGCAGAATCCTTTATCAAACGCCTTAAATTGATTGTAAGACCATTAAGCCAATGAGTTATTATAAATTTTCTCTTATACAATTGATTTATGGTCAAGAACTAAATATTTCCAATCTAAGAATTTTTTGACGTGCGGTGTAAGTTCCAATTGCTCTACTACAACGCACAAAGATAGGTCTTCAAAGGAGGTTAGAAATATATATTAGATATGAATTTCTATTTATAATTACCTATCTAGAACTCTCAACAAGAGATTTATTCATTGCAAGGTTTGCTGATTGCCATTTTGATGAAACAAATTTTTCAATATTAAAGGGAGAAAATAAGTAGTTGGAAAAAGAAAAATTTTGGCATACATTATTATTATCTAATTTTGATCCTTACACAAATCAATGTGAATAAAAAGTACAAAAGATAATTTATTTACAAAATATAACAAATTAGTTGCCAGATGCATTTATTGACCAAAAAGAGTAACTAAATCTCATAAACCAGCTGCAAATGCTTCAATTAGAATTGATGTAGGACAATATACTATTGCTAATGAGTCTAAGACACGCTAGAAGCGTGGGAGACCAATCGATTTTAAAGATAAAAGTCCTCAAAAAAGAAAAAGAGCAAATATTCTAGATGGTCAAGAGAAGGAAATAAAAACTCTACAAGAGACCCCTGGCATAATTTCAGAAAAAATTCAGATATTTGAAATTAGTGAAAATGAAGAGACTCAATAGATTATGTCATGAAGGGAAAAAGGATAGAACCGAAATGAAATAAACGTTAACGATATTTTTGCGTACAATGTAACACTTAATATTGTGAAATAAAATGAGGATTTTGAACCTATATCTGTGAATAGTGTAGACATAGAAATATTAGTTAATGTGGAAAAACACGATCAAAGTAGAATTGAATTCACTTGTAAAATGTGAAGTTTTTGGATGTGTAATCTGTATACTAAATGGCATAAAACTAGTGGGACATAAATAAGTATTTGTACAAATATGAAATGAGAAAAATGAGATTATGAGATATAAAGTACGACTTGTCGTACACAGTTTAATCCAAGGATCTAGTATTGAAGATGAAAAGATATATTCCTTATGATGGATGCAATTATAATTTTGTAATAACTAGTCTGACAATATATGAGAAGATTGAAATGGTTTAATGAATGAAATTACAGCTTATTTATATGGCTCACTTGATAACGATATCTATATGAAAATTTTTAAATGATTTAAGTTGCTTGAAGTACAAAATTTGTATTCTTAAGAAATTTATTTGATTAAATTAAATTAAATCTATATATGGATTAAAACAATCTGGACGCATGTGGTATAATCGCCTTAGTGAATTTTTGTCAAAAGAAGGCTATAAAAATGATCTTATATGCCCATGTGTTTTTAAAAAATGATTCAAATATGAATTTATGATAATTGCAGTTTATATTGATAAACTAAGCATTATTGGAACTGATGAACAGTTATCAAAAGCCGTTGATTACTTAAAGAGAGAATTTGAGATGAATGACCTTGAAAAAATAAAGTTTTGTTTGAATCTTTAGATTAAACACTTTACAAATGAAATTTTTGTCCATCAATCTAATTATATAGCAAAAGTGCTAAAATAGTTTATATAAAGAAAACACATTTATCAATGGTTGTAAGGTCATTAGATGTGAAAAAAAGACCTTTTCCTACCTTGTAAAGATAATGAAAAACTTTTTGATCTTGAAGTACAGTATCTTATTGTAATTGGAGAACAAGTGCATCTTGTTAGCAACATACGACCTGATATATCATTTGCTATGAACTTATTAGCAAGATATAGTTCTTTTCCAACTCAAAGACATTGGAATGAAATTAAAAATATACTTTATTGATAAACTAAGCATTATTGGAATTGATAAATAGTAATCAACAGCCATTGATTACTTAAAGAGAGAATTTGAGATGAATGACCTTGAAAAAATAAAATTTTGTTTAAATCTTTAGATTGAACACTTTACAAATGAAATTTTTATCCATAAATCTAATTATATAGCAAAAATACAAAAATAATTTTGTATAGAGAAAACACATCTATTGAGCTCATCAATGGTTGTAAGGTCATTAGATGTGAAAAAAAGACCTTTTCCTACCTCCTAAAGATAATGAAGAACTTTTTGATATTAAAGTACAATATCTTATTGTAATTGGAGAGCAAATGCATCTTGTTAGCAACATACGACCTAATATATCATTTGCTGTGAACTTATTAGCAAGAAATAGTTCTTTTCCAACTCAAAGACATTGGAATGGAATTAAACATATACTTTGATATCTTCAAGGAACAATGGATATGAACTTATATTATTCAAATGCATTAAAATCATATTTAATTAGTTATGCAGATTCAATATTTATCTGATTGACACAAGGCTCAATCCCATACAAGTTCATTATTTACATATGGAAGTATGACTATTTCATGATATTCTATAAAACAAGCTATAGTTGCTATTTATTCTAACCACATAAAATTTTTAACTATTTATGAGGTAAGTTGTGAATGTATCTAGTTAAGATCTTTAACTCAATATATTCGAGAAATATGTGGCTTGTCAACTAAAAAGGAAATTCTAACAATATTATACGAGGATAATATTACTTGTATAGTATAGTTAAAGGAATATTATGCTAACGGTTATAGGACAAAACATATTTTGCCAAAATTCTTCTTCACTCATAATCTTCAAGAAAATGATGATATTAGTGCTCAACAAATTCGTTCAAATGATAATTTAGCAGATTTGTTTACTAAAGCCCTTCCTACTGCAACATTCGAAAAGTTGGTATAAAAAATTAGAATGTAGCATTTTAAAAATCTTAAATAATGCAGTTATTAAAGGAGTAAAATACACACGGTACTTCTTTTCTTTATCAAGGTTTTTCCTGTTGGGTTTTCCTTGATAAGGTTTTTAATAAGGTAGTATTTCAAAAGCGTATTCTTGAAAAAGAATTATGTACTCTTTTTCCTTTGCTCAAATTTTTTTCTTATGAGGGTTTTTCCTTGTAAAGTGTTAATGAGACATATTTTTAATATAATGAATATTCAAAGGGGACTATTATGAATATTTTTATGATGAGTTCTTTTTTAAATAGGTTTCATGCATAAGGCGTTTCTGACCATAGACTTTTTCATAATTTTAACTATTTTTAGTTAAGAGAATTAAAATTTAGATAAAATTACCTTTAATGAAATTGACCCATTTATTTGGCTCCGCGCTCCAACCCGAAACCTATTAATGGGTCAAGTATGTTTAGGTCTGCGTCTCAAACCGACTCATATTCTTTGAGCTTTCCTTGTTAGATTATTCATTTCTAGAGTATTTCTTACCAGAAAAAAAAAGTTTAAACATTTTGAGTGTTTTGAAATAATTTTTGATATACGAAGAAAATTTTTGAGCGTTTTGAGTATTTTGAGGCATTTCGGAGTGATTTTTTATATAAGAAGAAAAACCTTTGAATATTTGAGCATTTTTTAGCAAGTAGGTGTATTCGTTAATTATGTTGTTAAATGGAATATGATGTATCGTTTGAAATTGTTAATCTTGTTAAATGAAATTCAATAGTTTTGGTGGTTTTTGGGCATTGTGTGACTAATATTTTAGGCATTACGTAACTGACTTTGGACGTTGCGTGACTGACTTTAGTCATTGCGTGATTAGCTTTTAAGTATTGCGTAACTTGTTAGTAACATATTGCGTGACTAGTTAGTAAGGCATTGCGTGACTTAGGTATTACTTAAAAATCAGTCACGTAATGCTTAAAAACTCGCCATACAATGCTTATAACCAATCATGTAATGCCTAAAAACCAGTCACGCAGTGATTAAGTTATGCAATGCCTAAAAACCAGTCTCACAATATTTAAAAATTAGTCTAATTAATTTCAACTCCTTAACTTTAAGTTCTATGAATAAAAACCAGTCTCACAATATTTAAAAATTAATCTAATTAATTTCAACTCCTTAACTTTAAGTTCTATGAATAAAGCAATTAACTCAAGAACCTAAAACACATATTTTTTTTTGCTAAGCCATGAAATTGTGCATTTCATAAAAGATATGTTACAAAACTCCATAACCCTTCAAAGCAAGACAAAATATATCCATATCGAGATAACCTTGCTCACTCCCCTCATGCAAAAACAAAATATATTCCCTCTATAAAATATTCCTGAACAATTTTAACTTAAAATCTCATAAAAAATCAAAATCCCTAGCAAACATGCTTAACAATCATCTCAATCCCAAACATAATAAAACTGTGAACTACTAAAAAACCCATTAAACATGCTTTAACTATTCTTTCTCTTTGAACCCATCATCTTAACCAATTTAATCCAACTCATCAACATAGGCATCTCCATTGCAGCATATGTTTCGAAGTAAGTCATCATCAGAAAGCATCCAGTTACCATATTCATCATGTTACCTACAACCACTATAGAAGAGTAAAATCGTTGTTTATTACCCTTGAGAACTCTAAGATCCACTATCCACAGAAATAAAATAAAATAAGAAAGAGTTTAATGTTATCTCTGCTCTTTGAAGGATGAGATAAACAGTATTTGATCAGAGAGAGAAATCGATATTTAATTTTAAAATTTTTGTCTAAATGGATAAAGAAAATTGAAACTATTTTAATTTGTCTGAAATTATTTAAAGCACATTGTTATCAAGTCATGTTAAAAATTAGTTAAAAATAGTTAAAATTATAAAAAAAGATATTTTTGAATTGAAGGAAGGTCATTTTTTACTTTTTTTATAATTATCTATTTATTTATATCTAGATTTGATCTAAATTAGATTAGATTAGAATTTAATATATCTAATATATTTTCATATGATAAATCTTATCGAGATAAAAAAGATTATTTTCTTATAAATAAATTCTTTTAATTCATTTATAAATACACATTTTAATAAAATTATTTCCCTCTCTAAATATTTTCTTTTTTTTAATTATTCTTTCAAGGTAATCTTATTTGTCATATATTTTCATAACAAAATTTTAATTTTTTGTTTTCGACGTTCTTACAAAATGCCTTAGGCTCTGTTCCACTTCCACTTCACTGGAATTCTCACGCTCGATGTGGCGTCGTTCTTCTTCTCTTCGTCTAAAAATCCTTGCCGCGACCGCTATCGCCTACCCCGCCGTCATGTCCTCCTCCCGCCGTCCTGTACCTCCTCCATCACCTTCACAAATTACATTGCTCTGCATATTAAATCTCAAATTATATGCACTAACTTTCAGTCCTCTAACTTTAACAGTATCGAGGCGGCCGCAATCAGTGGTGCAGAGGCTTCTCGGACCGATCCAACAGCGGCGGAAGAGGCCAGCTAGTCACAGGAGACTCGCACTTAAACTCTGTTCGAGAAACGAACCTCGGCTTCCGTCGAGGAAATTTCTCGAATCAAAACTCTTTTCAGCCTCAGCAATTCGGTTGCAGCCCTAGGCGTCCGTCTCCTTACGACCAAAACCAGCAGCAGTTTAGTCAACCGCCTCCGTCTCATCCGTACAACCGTTATCAACGGCCACGCCAATGGTTTGATCAAAATCAAGCTGCTCGGCCCTTCCGGCCACGCAATTCCAAGCCCTGGGATTACCGGGAATGGGAGTACGCAAAAACTCCACCGCCTCCGCATTCTGGTAACTGACTTCACTGACTTTAATTTCCGTATGGCTTTTGTTACTTGCTGCAAAAAGAAAAGGAAAAGAATTGCAATGCTATTTAAAAATTAAAAACTAGAAATTTAACTTTTGAAAAGCAAAATTCGCTCTTTTACTTCTATATAAAACAATTAAGCCACTTGCTCATTTTCAAACAAGTGTCGTTTTTTTTTTCTATGATTTTCTTTTTTCCTTTTAGCAAAATCTTGAGGAAGCGAAAATGAAAATAGCAGAAAGTAAGTAGTAAAAGTAAAAACCAAATTGGGAGGTAGTCCATTTAATTGGTTTAACTTTAATGAAGTTTGTTGATGTGTATATATCATTTGCAGAGAGGTTTATTGTCCTTTCCTATAATATATTGGCGGATTACCTTTCTAGTACTCATCGGAATCTTTACTTTCATATACCTCACCATATGATGAATTGGGAGTGGAGAAAGAGGAACTTAATGTTTGAGCTTGGATTATGGTCAGCAGACATTATGTGTTTCCAGGTTATCCAATCGCTCTCTGTTACATTTGAAAACTTTAATGAAGTTTAAAGGTATGCGAATGAAATATAGACGCTGTGTAATTTCATTCTACCTTTTTCTTGAAAATAATATGATAGATAGAAGCTTTCTCTACCTATAATGTAAAGTTAGTACTTTCAGTTGGTAGCATCTCACTCAAAGTTATATTACTGCTTCAATAGTTCAATTTACTTTAGGTTTGTCAATAGTGACTCAATTGTGGACTGTTGCTATTAGTTTTTCCAGAAAAAGTAATCATGCTAGGATGTTTGTGCTTGGTTTATTTTCATGCTACTTTGGTGGAGATGGTTGTTTACATGTGGAGGCTCAGAGGCTCAGTATGTCTTGAGCAGCACAATGGGAGGTAGCCGTCTTCCCTACCATAAATCCAACCCCCTTCATTCCCAAGGTTTGAACTTATGACCGCCACATTAAAATTTTGTGTTTCCTGGGACTGTCAGGAGCTTAGATAAATTTTTCCTTATTCATCTTAAAATGAATACCATGCTGATAATCATGTCATCACAAGGCATTAGGCTATTGTTCTCCTTGCCTCTTTGGTATGATATAAACACATTCAAATTGGGCTCTCCCTGAGGTGATGATATACACGGTTTTCGCTTGAGTGATGATTTATATATAAGTGAGACTGTGTGTGTCTTTGTTTTGGTGGGTGGATGTGTTGTCTTCAGATTTGAAATAGTATGTTTCCTTTTACTATGATTTCAGGAGGTTGATAAATTTCATGACTTGGAGGAGCAGTTGAAGTACAGGGGATATAGTGGCATTTGGAAGGTTTGTTGTGTGTCTGAAGCTGTTTCCATCATTAGTATGTGCATCAGATTCGCTTCAGATTTGAAAAGCTATATTGTAGAAATTACATTTGATGCTTTTACTTGAAGAGCATGCAAACAACTTTTCCCTGGAGAACAGAATTCTGACTTATTTGGTCATTTGACAGATGCGAACTGGCAATGCTATTGATGGTTGTGCAATCTTTTGGCGAACATCAAGGTAATTGTACCTTCACCTTTTATCATTCTATAATGGTCATCAATAAGTGGTGAATTGCTACTTTTTTCTATTTGCTGCATGAGTCTTATCAATTATTTCAATTACCATCTTAAGCAGGAGGTTAGCTGTCCGCTTTACTGTTCAGCAGTTATGCATTTTGTCATTTTTAAGCTCCATGCTACAACTTTAATGTGCCTTTTAGTTGCTTGCTTTACTGGTTAGGGCACTGTCTATTAGGTATTCTTTTCCCTAGTAATGGTCATCGATCCACGTTGAGAGAACATTCTGAACCATATTTCTAAATTTATCCATCATTATTGTAAAAACAAGTGGCCACATTAGGAAAGCTATATCAAAGATGTTTGTTGCTGCAAACGTCCCTTAATGATTGGGTATTGGAAACTACATCAACATTTCCATTTATTTATACAGTCAACATTCCTTTCAATTTTACATTTTAAAGGAAGGATATCAATGTACTTTGATAGTTGTATTTGATTGCATGCATGATTACTTGCTATGTACCCAAGTTACAAGTCAAGGGTTTAATCGCTTGATTGGTGTTAAGCTGCCTGGGATTTCTCGGGCTTTTCCCAGTTTCAAGATTTTGAATTTATTTTTGTTGGAGTATTTATTGACTCCCTGTTGATGCTATCAACATGACCCCTCATCAAAAATTTCATTGGCACTGAAGTATATCGAATCATTTTACAATCTTCATATTAGGTTCAAGTTACTTCATGAAGAATATATGGAGTTCAACAAGCATGGACTTCGGGATAATGTTGCTCAGATATGTGTTCTTGAGGTATACTACACGTTCCTATTTCAATCTTGAGTGGAATTGCCAATCTATTAAGGGTTTCTTGATTGTGTTTCATCCCAACTTTCTTTGTTTTTATTGACATGATTATATACCATGCCTTGACTTCTATTTATTTACACTTTTCTATGTAGTTGTTGAGCCAACATACCCCTGAAAATTCAGCAGCTCCACTAAAAAGGTAACAAGAAATTTTATGGTTTATACTTGTTTAATGCTTTTCTCTCAAAATAAATTCAAAACATCCTGTAATGTTTTTTATTTATACTTGAGATCAAGTTTTTTCGTAAAGGTATGTTTTGAAAGAAGTATTTATATTCGAAGATATTATGTACTGAGTCCCAATGGGTACACCTCAGTGGTTAGGAATTTGAGATTCCAGCTTGGAGGTCTTGGGTTTGAATCTTGGGGAGGGACATGCTACTTCCTATTGTGTAGTTCAAGATCATATGCACTAGAAAAAATGATATTATGCACTGGAACGAAGAGTTAAAAGTCAGTTGCTGTGAGGACATCTTTTTTCTTCCATTTGGTACTTGTGCTTTCTCATTACAATATGCATTTGGTCCTTGCTTGCATTGAGTATTCTATTAGAAATTCACATTGAACTTTTTGATCATTTCAATTCCTAGTTAAATGATTAGCATTTATTTGCAGCTCAGGGAACAAAGTTGTCGTGTGTAACATTCATGTGCTATATAACCCAAGAAGAGGAGAAATTAAGCTTGGCCAGGTATTTGCTTTTCTGGACATTTCATTACTCAGTGGATGGATGTAACAGTTTGTTGCATTCTCTAGAGGTTTTTCCTTGTCACCCCCTCTGTGGAGGCCATGATTCCTGATTGCACCAGCTTCACCTAAGGATCAGTCTTGCTGCTTATTTGCTGGACTTTCACACTTCATCACAGTGCACCTTATAAAACCTGAGGTTAATCTGCCTCGAGGTGTTGTATTGCCATGTCAAATTCTTTCTTTCTGTGTGAGTTCAGATTTGATGAGTAGTTCTGCCTTGTGTGCATATAACTTATGTTGCTTTTGCTGAACCTCATCTTGCTTTTCGACTCTATATTTTAGATACCTTTGCCAATTCATGCAAAAGCCCAAAATCTGATGCAAATTGAAATGGTTTTGGACCCATCTTATGTTTCCTTACCTGCTGTAGATTTCATTACTTCATATTTTGACTTCCTAGCAGTCTCTCTCTCTCTCTCTCTCTCTCTCTCTGTGCTTTGCTGGTTTGCGTGATCAGCTGTGCTTAGTCTGGCGTGTTTATAAAATTTTTGGAAAAATTGATCCTGAACTGGTTTAGTAAGCAGACATTAGTATGCCTTGATTCAGTTAACCTAGAGGTACCTAAATTTTAAGAACTCTTTGGCATTGTTGTTTAACTTGGCACACCCACATACATGCAAAAATTTATCCTTGTCTTTTTCTTCCCTTCCCACCCTCCCCCCTGCACACAGATGCCATTTCTTCTTTCTCTTTGCTAATTTGGCCCTCAATTAATTTTAATGTCTGCCTGCTATTCTGGTTTGACCCTTTATTTTCCTAAAGCACCTGTATCAAACTCATATCTGACACATCAAAGTGGACATGGGTATGACTAATGAGGGTATGATGCTCTAATACAATTAAAATTTTAGGAAAAGGTGAACATACCCACATCCTACATTTCTACCTAAGTCTGAGCATGAGTTTATAATAGTAGTAGTTGTTCTAACCTTTGTACCTAAGTTTTCCTCAAACAGGTTAGGAGGCTCCTAGAAGGAGCTCATTCTGTTTCAAAGAGTTGGGATGATGCTCCCATAGTTCTTTGTGGGGATTTTAATTGCACTCCCAAGGTATTCACTTCTTTTACACCTTAAGCTTTAGTTAAGCACTATCCACATGGTTTGTGTCTGTTTTATATTTGTTCTTTACAGCATCTTCAACTTTGATAAGTTACAACATCAGATCTTATTTTTGTAACAGAGTCCATTGTACAACTTTATCTCAGAGAAAAAGGTAAATACATTTTAACTTTTTCTCTCTTTGTTTCGACGATGGATGGTCAAGTAAGATTGTGATTATATCATTTGAGGCAGTTGGATTTGTCAGGAGTAGATAGAGATAAGGTGTCAGGACAAGCTTCTGCCGAAATTCCTCTGCCAATGCCATATAATTCTAATTCCAGGTAAGGTTTGTACAAGTTTCTGTCTATGACACTCAAATGACTTTTCAGTGCACTCCTGATTGTTGAAGATGAAAAGCTTGCTAAAATATTACAGGGTTCAGTCTGGTGATAATTCAGTGCAAGTTCCTTCGACGGTAGATATCAAGGAGGTTGGTGTGGATAAGAATGATTCTCACTCTGACACACAGAAACAAAATAATCTAGACAGAAATATCAAAGATGCTCCTATAAACAACTTGTCTCAGTCCAATGAGACAATGCAGGATTTGTCAGATATGTCTTGCAACAATTTGCAGACGGAAGGCAATGGCAGTGCACAATATGGTGAAGTGACCACAGGACCTCACCAGAATGTGATTGATGTTGCAAAAGCTGAAACTGGATCAACATTCTTCATTTCAGATAATAGCTCAAAAAAAAGTTCAAGCTGTTGTCATAATGAAGTCAAATTTCCCATAGATGAGATGGATGATGATAAGCAAAGATTTTCTCTCACCAATTTTTCCTGTATTGAAAATGTATGCTCTGATGTGACCGAGATAGAGCATACAGGAATAGATATCACCATCCATTCTAATGAAGACACATGCATTGTGATGGATGATCATTCTAACAGGGTCAGAACTGACCCTGAGTTTTTGAATACCTCCAAGTCAACTGGGTCATTATGCCAGACTCATTCTCCTGATTCAGTTGAAGTTTCTCATCTTGGGATCTCAGGCAGTCGGTCATCCCGGTCAATTGCTAATGACAACAGTGTTAGTCCTTCAATTCCTTATCAAGTAGACTTCTCAGGTCTATCTGCTGGGATTGATATTGAAGTAGAAGAAAAAATGGATAAATTGTCTTTTGGAGAGCTTAGTAAAGCTATGATTGAAGGTGGAACCATTGTTGAAGACAATAATGCATTTGTAACTGCGTTGTATGGTAATGAAGATGTCAATCCAACAAACTCTGATCAATCAGTAACATCAGATTTGGATCATTCTTCCAAGGAATTTTTCAGTTCCCAAAACTCCCAATTTCCATTACCAAGTGATGAAATGCTGGACGATTTATCGCCTTCCTTGGATTCTGAAGGCGTTGAGGCTGAGCAGGCTACTTATGATCCATCAGTATGGAGCCCAATGGAAATAGCCATTGCAACTGGGAGTGAGGACTGCAATTTTCTAGAACACTCTCTGCAGCTTAAAAGCACATATACAGAAGTCAAGGTACATCAGTGTGGAGGTTTACTTTCTCAGTCTTTTCAGTTATTAGATATCTGGCAAGCATAATTACTATAAATGAATTCAAATTTGGAATTTTTTTTTCCACGCCTTTACAGGATTTTTCAGGGACAAGAGACTTAGATGGGGAGCCTCTTGTAACCAGCTACAACAGGCGTTTCTTGGGCACCGTTGATTACATATGGTAAGTAGTTGTAGTTGTCCTGCTTCTTAGATTTGAATATACTTGAGAGTCATCACAAAGAAGGCATATTCAAATGAAGTTGCAGCCTTCCTAATGTTTTTCCATGTAAAACTATGGACACATCTGACATGGACTTGGATCTAGTGTCTGAATGATATTTTAACCACCCTTCTCTGTTTCTTTTTGGCACATACAAAGTTCAATCAGGAGCTGAGGTCAAACCTTAGAACTTGCCCTCTTCCTACTTTATCTTCCTTCATTGTGGGATGGTATGAAAAGATATGTTATCCAAGCTATACACATTTTTTTTTCCTTGTACCACATTAATATGAGATCATTTCTTAATGGAGCTTTTCAAATGAGCCCTTATCTTACAATTCTCATGGTTTAATCTAGTCGATTAAAATAAGCCGCTAGCTTTTACTTTTATTTAAAAATGAATTTGGTTATAGTATTGTGTTTATGTGAGGGTTTGAATTAATTAAATCTTTTACACTGCTCTGACTTTCAGGCGTTCTGAAGGTCTCCAGACTGTCAGGGTGCTTGCTCCAATTCCGAAACATGCTATGCAATGGACACCAGGATTCCCAACAAAGGTATGATAGCAAAACCTAGTTTAAATAGAAGCTGTATTTCTCAACTTCTTTGGTATCAATAAATTCTGCAGTGCTTTTGGGAAATTATAAGAGTATTAAAATAAATAAGAATTGATAATGACTTTTAATAGAAATAAAAGAAAATATAAGATTTTTAGATTCAAATTTGATTGAAAATTTCTGATTTAATACGAGAAATGTGTAAATTACATATGCTTAAATTCTCCCCGTCTTTTCAGAAATGGGGTAGTGATCATATTGCACTGGCTTCAGAATTGGCATTCACAAAAGACTGTATCAATCAGGACCCAAAAAGTTAAAGTGGGTAGAAAGGTGTTTGTATTTGCGGTTTGTAACATTCAGTTTTGCCTCAATTTTTATCTCCTGTGTTATTGCTGTTTCTATTTGAATTTTGTTTATCTATTATAGTTGGATATATTAATTCATCAATCCTCAAATTTTAAATAAGAAAAACTGTTGCCAGATTTGTAGTATTTTGCATCATTGTATTCCTGTGATCTATAATGTAACTTGGTATACTTTTAGCCGCTAACGGCTGGCATTTATTTATTTTTCCTCAAAACCTTGTAAAATATGTGACCGCTATCCTGGGCATTCTTGGACGCAACAGCAAAGTTTAGAAAACATATGCCCGTAGATCTTGCTAGGACACTCGAATTAGTTTCAGCAACTCACAAGTGGAGCCCGCTGTTGGTGTTATTGTTAGCCAATTTGTATTAGCGGTTGCCATTTTTGTATTTAAAATTCAAATAATATGTTACTTTGTCTAGTTTAAATATTAATAATTTGAGGGAAAAGACGAGTTTAAGTGGGTTGAATATATTGAATAATGTTAGTTATTATATTAATACAATTTATTAAATGTGTCGAATATATATGTACTGAGGATCAACTGCATGTAACTTGAATAATCTTATATTTAAAATATAAGATCATAACATGACTAGAATTATACAAAATGGATATCCAAAATTATGAAAACTGGCATATTTGGCAAGATAATCTTCATTTCTTTTTGCTCATATTGATCTCAACATGCATGACTTTACCTGTGGATGTGGGTAATGACCAGGCTCTGCTGTTCCAATTGAGTCTCCAGGGCTGTCCATATTGCTTCTCTGCGGCATCATTATACTAGTTGGACCATATTTTGGGTTTCAAGGCAAGGCAAGGCAGGGCAGAGCCCAGTGCTGATGGTTTCTGATCCATCCACTTGTCGTGATAGATCTGTAATCTGTACGAAACGTGATGCATATGGATTTAGCTTGGCTGGGGACTTGAAAGGGCTGTGGCTCTGAAGTTTAGCAGTAAAAAAGCCAGACTGGTTTGCTTGGTTTGCACGTGACTCACAGAAATTGAAGCATCAAAAGTTACATAAAGGTTTGGACCCATTTATTTCTCTCTTTTACCTGGAAAAGACCCGAGGACCGATTCTGCCATTCACAATCACAACCCCAAACAGCCCGTTTTGAGGGACGTCGGGACAGCTTCATCTTTTTTCCATTTTATTTTTTGCTGCCCCTTCTCTTCTCTTCTTCCCCAAAGATTTACATACCGGCATGCTACATCTAAACCCCCAGTTTATTTTTCTCCTTTTATGATAATATGTAAAGTGGAGTGTAAATCATTAAAAGGATACCAACTTCTTCAAGCAACTGATTTTCTTTTCTCTTGTTTTGCTTTGATTATTTGTTTTTCTTGGCAGACTGAAAGGAGGATGGACGACATAGAATCGAACAGTACGTACTACATTCAGATGTAGCGGTGTTTTTGTCCAACGCTTGTAAAGGGACAAAAGAGGGGGGTTTTGGGTGTCATGTTGTTCGCCTTTTGGTAGTGGTCCTCCTCGAAGCACAATCGTGCTATGTTTTCAAACTTTGAGTGCTTCTACGGTTATCTGCTAATTTTTTTGCCGGAAGCAAATATTCACCCCATGCATTGTCATGTCCTTCGGGGAAAGGAGGACATAGACAACACATTTTTATAATTCCAAGTAAATATAAATTACAAAGGTTGCACATGCATTGCATGTGCTCTTAAGGCAATATGTACGTTTTAAAAATGAGTTGAAAAAGCCCGTCGCAAAAGATTTTTAACAACTTCTTGACGAACAAGAGCTTAAGGAGACCACAAGCTTCTGACGTGTCAAGATCAGAACAAAAAAAAAAAGCCAAGTTTCCAATTCAAACTGGACGAGCAAAGTTTAAGTCAAGCCTGTTGCCTATTTATTTACATTAAATTCCCATTTGGCCTCCGTATGAGTGCTGTCTAGGACTCGCAAGCAGCGCCTTTTCAGAAGGCAGTTTCAAATACTTCCTCCGCTCATTCATTCTCTTTCTCTAACTCTTCACTGTCTCTGAAGCTGTAAGGAGATCTTTTTCTCTCCTACTAATCCACATTGTAAGGTCAGTTTCTTCTTCTGGGTCTCCTCCCATTTTTCCTCTCATCTCTCTTCCTTTTTGGTTATTTTTATTTCACTTTTGGATCTCTTCTAGATTCCAAGAATCAGCAATGTTTATAGAATTTTTTTTTTATATGCATAGCTGTGAAGTCTTCTTTTAGTTTCTTTCTGATGAAGGGTCTTTTCTCTTTCATTTTTGCAGGGATTCCAATGCTGATAAGAGCTGCATTAGCTTAGTTTGTACCTCGAAGGACCTTTCTTGACAGTCTGAAATTTTAAATAAACCAGTTCCAATTCCATTATAATTCCTTTGCTGTTGAAAATCCAAGGAAAGCTTTACCCAACCTCAACTACCTTGTCTTTTGTTTGATTTCGACTTCATCATCAGAAATTCCTTCAAAATGCACTCTCCTCTTCACTACTGTTTCATCTAAATTTCTTATCTATAAACATTTGTTCATTTGTTTTACCAAAACAACCCACCAACAAAGAAAAAAAAATGTCTGAATCTAATCCAAGATTACCTTCTAACAAGCTTCCTGATTTCAAGCAATCTGTGAAACTGAAATACGTTAAACTTGGCTACCATTACCTGATAACTCATGGAATGTACATATTTTTAACCCCTCTTGTTATGGTCATTGCTGCACAACTCTCCACTTTCTCGCTTCAAGATCCCCACGATCTTTGGGACCATCTTCGTTTTAATCTAATTTCTGTGATCCTATGTTCCACCCTTCTCGTTTTCTTATCAACCCTTTATTTTCTTACTCGTCCTCGTCCTGTTTACCTTGTTGAGTTTTCATGTTACAAGCCAGATGATGCTAGGAAATGCACCAGGGAGATGTTCATCGAAAGGTCTGTTTCGACTGGTACATTCACAGAGGAAAATCTTGAGTTTCAAAGGAAAATTGTTGAGAGGTCTGGTCTTGGGGAGTCCACTTACCTCCCCGAAGCTGTTTTAACAATTCCTCCTTATCCATGCATGGCAGAGGCAAGGAAAGAAGCAGAAGCTGTGATGTTTGGCGCACTTGACCAGCTTTTTGAGAAAACATCTTTGAAACCTAAAGATGTTGGAATTTTAATTGTCAATTGCAGCTTGTTTAATCCAACACCTTCTTTATCTGCAATGGTAATTAATCATTACAAGCTTAGAGGGAATATTATTAGTTATAATCTAGGTGGGATGGGCTGTAGTGCTGGTTTGATATCCATTGATCTTGCCAAAGATCTTCTTCAAGCACATCCAAATTCCTATGCTTTGGTCGTTAGCATGGAAAACATTACTTTGAATTGGTATTTTGGGAATGAAAGGTCCATGCTTCTTTCCAATTGCTTGTTCCGGATGGGAGGGGCTGCAATTTTGCTTTCCAATAAAAGGTTTGATGGATGGCGGTCCAAGTATAGATTGGTCCATACTATTCGAACTCACAAAGGTGCAGATGATAAATGCTTCACTTGTGTTACTCAGAAAGAGGATTCTACCGGGAGGATTGGAGTTTCTTTGTCAAAGCATCTGATGACGGTTGCTGGGGATGCTCTGAAGATTAATATCACAACCCTTGGTCCTCTTGTTTTACCAATGTCTGAGCAGTTACTCTTCTTTGCCACTTTGGTTGCCAGGAAATTTTTCAAGATGAAGGTGAAGCCTTACATCCCAGATTTCAAATTGGCTTTTGAGCATTTCTGCATTCATGCTGGTGGAAGAGCTGTACTGGATGAGTTGGAGAAGAACTTGCAACTCTCAGATTGGCATATGGAACCTTCAAGAATGACACTGTATCGATTTGGTAACACTTCAAGCAGCTCTCTTTGGTATGAATTGGCTTATACAGAGGCCAAAGGGAGGATTAAGAAGGGAGACAGAACATGGCAAATAGCATTCGGTTCAGGGTTTAAGTGCAACAGTGCTGTTTGGAAGGCTCTGCGGACCATAAATCCAGCTAAGGATACAAGCCCATGGATGGATGAGATTCACCAATTCCCAGTGGATGTTCCAAAGGTTTCAGCAATCTAGAATCCATTTAACCATTTTGCTTTTCCAGCATTAGATTAGTGATTGCTCTTCAGGTAATAAACACCACTCGTCTCTGTTGTTTTATTGCAATTTCTTTCTGTAGGGACTAGTTAGTGATCGACTAGGATTTGCATTTAGTCTATCTTGTTTATTTGTTGAAAAGATAGCTGCAGTTAGGTCTTCTAGTCAATCTGCTTATGCTTCCAGTGTACATGGGTTGTCGTGATGGCTTGGACTAATGTTTCTCTGTCTATTCATGATTTTCTCATGTTTTAGATTTGATCATGTTCGACTGCTGATTAATTGGGCTAACTTTTCATTGGGTGGCAAAGTAACCAGTTCCGATGTGAATTGATAAAACAGAGTTGGCATTTCTACCAGACGGTTATTTGATTCTCATAACAGTGCAAATAATAGGCCAACCATAATGAGAAATCAACCCATCCATCCTGTCAATACTGATAAAAGTCATCACAAATCAGCAAATATACATAGAAATCAATCTTTCCAAGACTTTTGAGCTAACGATCAAGAGAGACCTAGTTATTAATCCTTAGGGCACTTGTTTGATAAGAGCCTTGTGAATGTGAGGGATGACACCAGGACCAGCTATGGTTCCTTTGATAAGGGTATCATGTTCTTCATCACCATAAACTGTTAACTGCAGATACCTTCACATGATTAATTACTTGCAGCAGTACCTGCCAACTCTACGACTTGTACACTCAGGTACTCCAAGATGGCAGAAGTGTGGACAGCTGCAGTTGCGCCAACTCTTCCATTTGCTTTGACCCTTCACCTGAGAAGACGATGAATCTGGCCAGCACTGAACTGCAGGACAAGTTACAAGGTCGAGCAATTAGGGAGAAAAGGCATCAGTGAATGGCGACAAATTTACCAATCGAATACATACAGGGAAAGAATTCGAAAACAATTAAGATTGTGGTCTTGGTTTTCATTAACAGTTTTTTTTTTAAAAATAATAATAATTTTATAGTATAACATTGTATAAAAAATAATAAGAACAATTATTATAAATAAAATATTATTTTATGTTGAACAATAATTATAACAAGTGAAGTATTATTTTATGTAAAATTATTAAAACAAGTGAAATATTATTTCATACAAAACAATTAGAGTAAGTGAACTGTTATTTTATTTTATACAGAATAATCACTTTATACGGATGATAGTGAAAATAACTTAGAATAAGTGACAGAATTCAAGAGTTATTTTTATCTTGAAAAGTTTTATAAAGTTTGATTTGGTGGTTCAGATATAGAGGTAATTAAGAAGTTTTTATTTTAACTTTTTTCTAAAGTACAAATAGTACAAGTGTTTTTCTCTTCTTCTCTTATTCTCTTGTACTTGTTTATGTATACCATTTTCTCTTAATTTATTCTTGTATAACTTTTTATGTATGTTTCTTCTTTATTATTTTTTTATTTGAGAATAAGTTTTATTATACTAAATTACTTCAATGGTTACATTATAAGTTTCTAATCATTATTCATTATATGCAATAAAATTATTATTTTAATATCTACATAATAAATTATAATAATAGTTACTTATATTAAAATTTTTTATAATAATATCATTCATTACTTACATTAAAACTTATTTTTGATTAACTGTTACAATTGATATTATATATAAATCTTCACAATTCATTCAAGAGAACTTTACTTTTTCCAAGTTACCTCATTCTTGCTCAACGTTTTTCTCTCTAAATTCTCTTATTAGCACTTTTCTATTTAGTACTTTTCAGCTTCACTCTAGCATTCACCTTCTCTACCTATTCTCAATTATTATTTTACTATTTATATATATTTTTCTATCTACCACGATATTGAATACAGTGGACATCAGTTACAAACTTGAGAGAGGAGTATGTCACACTATAGTTAAGGCGGCATGAACCTAATAGAGAACATTTCAAAAGCTAATACCCACCTTTTCATGGTGGTCATCCAGCCATCCTAGACTTCATTTGACGAGGCACTTTTCTGAGACCCACATATTAAAAGATGCAAACACTAGTCGCATCTACTTTCAAACTTTCCACCGGGTCCTAGAACTGGTGCGCAAGCAAAGCAACTTATTATTCTTTCAATTTGCTGCTAATACCCATTTCAAAGTCCAGTCTGAGTCGGGCCAAACCTATGGGCCTAGTAGTTAGTTAAGCTTATGGAAAGGTCTACCTAACGCCCGCGCCTATAGGGCTATTATTTTGTAGTAAATAGACTTTGATTATGCAAATTAATGAAAAGCAGAAGCATGCAAAAATGCAACATCCCATTAACTGTTTGACATTCAGATCATTGGGTTAAGCTCTTGGAACCAATGAGTCGTTGGGACTAGTTATAGCACTGCTTCTACTGTTGCGCTTCCATGTTTATCTAGAATCTTGAGTGAGTTTAGCTTTATCAAATTCAATTTTTTTTATTAAGAAAGAAGAATTTGAACTTAATTTTTTTAAGCATAACATATACATTTAACATTAAATCAAATGATTACATAAAAGTCACATTAGTTTGAATCAAAATTTTTAAATTTCTAGTATAAACAATAAAGGTTTAATCATATATCACTTTAACAAGTTACAAAATTCATTAA